GGAGGCACTGGATGAGCTTTAAGGTCCCTGCCAACCTAAAACACTCTAGGATTACATGAAGAACTTAAAGTCCTGGTGAAATCCACGTTTTAACCATGAGGGAATAATGCAACATTCCAGAAGCACCCAAAGAGACATTTTCAGAACTATGTCCCACTCAAATGTTTAAAAGCTTACTGTAATTGCACCACAAAAGCAACTTGGTTAAATTAAGCTTACCTGCACATAACTTCTGTTTCACAGAATTAGAGAACCCCAAACAGGTTTGGGCTGGAAGGGACCTTAAAGCTCATCTTGTTCCACCCCTGCCATGGGCAGGGACAGTACATAACTTCTGTTTCACAGAATCAGAGAACCCCAAACAGGTTTGGGCTGGAAGGGACCTTAAATCTCATCTTGTTCCACCCCTGCCATGGGCAGGGACACCTCCCACTATCCCAGATTATTCCAAACCTTGTCCACCCTGGCCTTGGGCACTGCCAGGGACCCAGGAACAGCCACAGCTGCTCTGGGCACTCTGTGCCAGGGCCTGCCCACCCTCACTGTAATTCCTCCTTATATCTATTCCAAATTCACCCTCTTTTAATTTAAAACCACCACTCCTATTTTCAAGAAGCAGGGTAAGGAATTTAATTTTTCACAGTTGAGAGCTGCAATCTGCCAGAGTTTTAGGTTTTTATAGATTTACCTGTTGAGTGACACTGCTCTGAATTCCCTGGGCAGATCAGATATTCCCAGCCAAGGAGTAAGAACTGTGCTGGAAGTGGGGTACCAAGTGCTGGTTGCATTTTACAGTACCAAAAAAAAAATATATTCAGGAGCAATGAGATAATCTGTTGTTTTCTTCAGGTAACACCTTTGAAGACTATTTGAAAATACAACAGAGTGTCCCAGCCAAGGGGGCTGCTGCCTACATGAGAGGTCAGTGGGGAGTCCAGGGTGGGAGAAGAGGGGTGGGAAAGGGAAATTTCAGAGCTGTCTGAAAAGCTGCTCATGTCATTCACACTGGGTTTAGTAGCAAATAGAACTTTCGTCCAAATGGGCATTTTATAGGAAAAATATTCCTTAGTTCTCCTGGAATGTGATTGGAAAACCCCTATCTAATCCTAGAACCCTTTTTTTCAACTTGATAAATATAAATAGAAATAAAGATTTATTTTCTGCACATGCACAGAGGAATGTACACCTCCATGAACTGTACAATCTCCATGAATATGGAAAGTACATGAATGTACATCTCTATGAATTTCCTTCAAATGCCAAGTGGCGAAATAATGAACACTCCTGCATTTCGCTGTCCTGGGTTCCCCCAGGGCTGTGTAAATCCTTGGAATTTTTAGTGCCCCACCTCCATGTTTGAGCTCCCAGCAGTCATTCCAGGATTTTTCCTGGAGTTTCCTGCAGGAAACCACTGAGCAGGCGTCTCCTTTCAGCAGGAAACACTGCTGGCAGTGTGGTGGGGCTGCAGGGAGCTCACGGAGCTCAGAGCTAACAGCCCTTTGCTTTCCCTCCAGTGTCCAGAGCAGTGAACAGCTCCAAGCTGAGCCTGGTGGAGAAGGGGACCTGTGAGGCCATGCAGTGCTTGAGCCAGGAGCTGGTGATCAGGGAACAAGGCCTCTACTTGATCTTCTGCCACTTGAACTTTCTCTTTCCCAACTGCTCCAAGAGCCCCATCGACCTCAAGATTGAGCTCCTGGTGAACGACAGGGTGGACAGGCAGACGTTGTCCACACTGTGTGCGTCGGAAACGTGCCAAGACAAGACTTTTAAGACTTTGCTCCAGCTGCACTTGACAGAACTGAAGGTGGAGGACCGAATATCAGTAACACTGAACCATCCTGAATTCCTGAATGACATTTCTCTTCCCAATGAAAACATTCTCGGGGTCTTGAAGTGCAGCGATTGAAAGTGAGCAGCTCCCCGATCTCCCACTGCTGCCAGACCCTTCCTCTGAACACCAGCAGCCTGCTTTTACTAGGGACCACCTTGGTTTAAATTTCACACCTCACCTCATCCCTATGGTGAACAAGGAACTTCGTGAGTGTCCCAGAAAAAAACACTGCAAGAGCCACACCTGCCAGGATCCCTGGCTTGGCTCCGGGTGGGAAAGTTGGACTATCCAGCATTTAACCCACCAAGGGTTCCTCGAAATAATCTGTGCAAACACAGACTAAACCCAGCCAGGTCATGGCAAGAATCCACAATACGGAGATTTTTAAGGTCATAAACTTCTGGCACAATGCTTGTGCTCAGGACATGGGGAAATCTGTTTAACTCTATTGTATGGAGTAGTGTTTTAACCTGGTCTTTCCAAAAACCCAACAGTCAAAGCTTGTAGTCAAAGCTTTTCTTTACCATGGGCACTCAATGAGAACTCTGGAGTAGATTCATTGTACAACAGCAGAAATTATGAAATTCTCGACTCTCGGGCTGGCAGCTGAAACTCTGGGGCAGGACAAAGGAGATTTGGGATTTACAGGATATTTCTGTGCTGCATTCTGCTATGGACTTTATGTCGTTCCTTTCAAGTGTCTTCCTTGTCACTATTTATCCATCTTTTCTATTTAAATATAAAGCTTTTTGGGACAGAGACTTTGTCTAAGCAGAGTCCTCAGCCTCTGTTCTCCCCTGGGGTTCTCAGACCTTTTCACATTAAACATTAAAACAGCAATGGAGTTGCCATTCTGGCAGATAGCAAAGTTCATGAGGATGCATTTTCCTCAAGTGCTGCTCTGCCAGTTTGGCAGTCCCTGTGTGACACAGACCACACTGGGCTGGGAATCTTCCTCCAACAGCATCACTTCCTGGAAAGCCAGAGCTCCAGACTTCCCCAAAGTCCAGACTTGCCGAAAGACAGTTTCAGACTGGCCCTCAGCTGAGAGCTGAGATGCTTGAGCAGGCCAGAGGATGGGTGGTGGTATTTGAGCTTCTTTGGATGCCTGGATTATTTAGAGAATGCAGGATAAAAGAAGAATCTCAGGCCCTTTTATTCCATGAAATGCAGTAACCCAGACATTTATTTGCAATTTCATTCTTACAGTATGGGGAGGGAAAGGACCAAGATGTTCCCAAAGCTGGTCCCAGTTCAGTCCTTCTCCTTTTCCCTTCATCTCTGGGAACTCAGGAAAGTCTATTTTCACCATTATTGGAGTTTTTCCCCTTGCACAATTGACATTTTTCTCTGACTGCAGCTTGGCAAACTCTCCACAGCAAACATTTAGTCATAGATTGAGTTTCTGGCTCCAGAAACCCGGTGGTTTATCATCCAAACTCAGTGGATGCTGGTGACTGATATGGCTCAGTTTGTGTGAGCACACTCCAAATATTCCTCAGAGCAGTAATTTGTTTCTTGTTTTACATCACCAGAAACTGATGGTGCATATCAATGAGGTTTTGTCTCGTCCACCAGGTGACTTCAAATTACACCAGACACTTTCCAAAAGTCAGGAACAACTGTTATGATTCACTGCTAGAGGTACCCAATTTCTGTTCTGATGAACATTGATGCAAACAAAAATTCCTTTTGCTGTAAATGACTCAGGGAAAAAAAAAAAAAAAAAAAAAAAATTAAAAAAAAAAAAAAAAAAAAAAAAAAAAAAAAAAAAAAGAAAACTAAATCAAAAGAAAAAAAACAAAAACCAAGGATTTAGTTTTCTTTCTTTTTCTCTTAGCAGAGAGAAATTTATTTTTATAAGAGTCAGCTGACCCTGCCTATGACTTTGGAACCCCTATGGGCTGTCCTTACCCCTCTGGGCCCTAAAAATACCTCATGTCTCTGAATAGAGTTTTTAACTTCTCTTTGCCTCCACTTTGATCCACACAATCCAGAGAAGTTAAAGCAAGCCTGGCAGTGAGGGATCATAGCTCCTGAGCATAGAAGCATTCAGTGAATGAAAACATGCATCTCCTCACACATCCCACCACTCCTCCTCTCGCTGGAGCCTTTGAATTGAAAGAGAAAGGGCAGTCTTTTAAAAATAAAGCAGCTCTCCCTCCACAGGGTGATTTTATCCTATTATTTTGCCAGATGGAAAAAATCCTGACAAGGCAATGCTAAACTGCTCAGCCCCAGGCATTTTAATACCTTTGGATAAAGAAATCTGGCCTCTACCCTATTGCTTCTGAGAAATAAGAATAAATTATAGACAGAAAGAAAGGCCATTAATAGTGAACAATTTCCCCTATTTTAAAGCTATTTAAAATCTTAAATAGCTTTAACTGAAGCAAGGCCCTGAGGCAGGTACACTCCAAGCCACTTCATTCTTTTATCCCTTTTCCTTCATTTATTTTTTCTCTAAGTTTTTTAAGCGACTCATTTTGAAAACAGCCCTGTATTTAAAAATATCCCCAGGCTGGTCCTTCCCACAAGGATGTGTCTCTCCAGCAGCATCATCAGCAATTCCCTGTGGGGAATTCCCTGCCCTGTTTGCAGCAGCAGGGTCCTGGATCTGCCCAGGAGCATCTTCTGAGGAACCACACCTTGCTCTGGTTCCCCGCCCAGGAGAGAGGAGCAATCCTAAATGCACTGAAGTTGATGCCTTTTGGGGCTACCTAAAAACAGAGGCCAGACAAAATTAAGGGAATAAAAAGTAGGAATATTTATTGAAGGCCCTTCAGGTACATTTCAGGCAGACAAAGCCCCCCAGGGGCTGCACCCAAAATGGACAATGGGTTTTCACACTTTCATAAGTTTGGGCCATTTGCATATTGGGGGTTCATCTGCCAATTTCAGCTTCAGCTAATGAAGTCATTGACCCCAAGTTTGCTCCCCAAACTCACTTTTGTTTCCATCTCTGGGGCCTGAGGCAGTGAGGGGTCCCTGTTTGCCAGGCCTGGAGAGGAATTGTTGTGTCTGCCCAAAATGGGAAAGCAGCAGCTCACACTGTGTGTGGAGTTTGGAGTTCTACACTAAAGAGCTGCAGGGTTACAAAGCTATGGAAAATAGAAAAACTCAAATCCTAAGGCATCAAAGTCATGGAGAAATTGTACTAATTCCTCCCCTAGTCCTCAGATGGGGCAAATGTGGAGTTTTCTGTGCCCGTGTGATTGCCAGCTCCAGCAGACACTGGGGGCAGCAACAATCCCACAGCTCTGCTCTCTAAAGGGGTTTGGGCCCTCCCCAGTCACTGATAAAGCTGCACTCTTAATCTCATATCTGCCTGGCCACGGGCATCTAGAGTATTTATTCATAATCTTGGTTGATAGAGAAAAAAGTTCCTATTATTGGCTTAATTCTGCCTATTGTTAATTGCTGGAGAAATCTTTAACAGGGATTTCAATAGCAGTCAAGCTGATGTAACACATTTCCATCCCAGCTCACCCCGGGGCAGCAGCCCAAAATCTGATCAGGTTTAAGATCAGAGATCACAGAGCTGGATCTGAGCTCTGCTGGAGCCGTGAAGACTTTGAAAGCACAAGAGCAATCAGATTTCACAAGGCTCCATGACACCTCCCATGAAATTGGCCCCAACCCAAACTCTTCAAAGCTCAGCTCTGAAAATTAAGCCATGGCTTATGTGACACAGATTAATTATTCATGGAGGGACTTTCACATTCACTTCAGGGTTTGTTTCGTTTTTTGTTCAGCACGAGAAGAAAACATCACAGTCACTTAGAGAGAAATCCCTTCCTGTGCCAAGGGCCAGCCAGGGGATGTTGGCAACCTAAAAATGCCTATTTAAAGATCCCACCTGGGTCAGTAGGGCCCTGACCTTCTGTGCAGGAACTGCCTGACTCTGCACTGCTCTGAGCCACACAGATCCCTTGGGAGAACAAGCAGCATTCTGCAAAATTCTTGGCTAATTGCTCATGCTCTTAAATTATTATTATTATTATTATTATTATTATTATTATTATTATTATTCATAATGTTACTAGACAGAAGAATTCAAAGCAGCTCCACTGTTTTCAAGCACCCAATCCTGAAGATAACATAAGAAAGGGACTACTCAACACAAATAAGCAACCTAAAAAGCAAAATAAATAAGAAACTTTTATATTTAGGTCCTTACAACAGGTCTTTAGAAAGTGGAAGTGATACAATTGGTGTTTGGTGCAAACAGCAAGAGAAAACCACAGAGCAAAGGCAGCTTCTGGAGGGAAAACGACTGAAACAAATGCAAATTCTGATGAGCAACACTTGGGGCAGCAGGAGCTGATGTAGTGACCTCAAAACCTCCTCCAGGCTCAGCTTTTGATGGTTTTACTTGGCTCAGTTTCAAAGAATGTAAGGATAGAAAAACTGGATAAATGTTTTGGAAGAGCACATTCTGCTGTCAGACCTGGAACCCCCCCACCCCCAGCCCCCATGGTTTAAATTCCCAGTTTTTCTTTTCACTGCTGATCCCAGGAGCTTAAAGGTTTGGGATGCAGAAGGAATAGTGAACAATTTCCCCTATTTTAAAGCTATTTAAAATCTTAAATAGCTTTAACTGAAGCAAGGCCCTGAGGCAGGCACACTCCAAGCCACTTCATTCTTGTCCACTTCCAAGCCCCAAGGACAGCTTGGCACTGTGTGAAATTCAGGCTGAAGGAGAAATTCAGGTTTTTCCAAGGAGAGGGAAGGTTGTGAGACCCCAGAGCTGGACATTTCCTTGGGATCAGAGCTTTCTCCACTCTCAGCATTCCCAGGGATTGCAGCAACCTCTGTGCTCTGGTGTCAGTCAGGGATGCTGCACCCCAGGAGTGAAGCCATCATTTTTTCCTGAGCTGCCATATCCTGCAGTCCTGACATTCCACTTCCTTCACGTCAACAATTTCTAAATTTAGGCTCCTTAATTCCTTCTTAGAGCTAATGTGAAACAGGAAGCTCCAGGTGAGTCAGAGCACCCAAAATAGCTGCCTAGAAAAGCCAGGCTCAGCTGCTGACTGAGTCTTTCTTTACTCTGTCCAGCCACCTCAAACTCA